TCCCTCCAGATTAGGCCATCCAGCTCCCTAAAACTTATTTTAGTGTGGAAAACCTTGATATGCAGGTGAAAGAAATTTTGCATTTTTTCTTCTTGCTTACCAAGAATAATGTGTAGTAGTACTTAGATAATAAAGTATTATGAATATTTAATCAAGTACTGAAGAAGAATATTGAACATACTATGGACTGCCAAGAGAACTAACAGGCCTGGCCTAGTGAGGGTGAAACCAAGCTGCTCCTTGGACACAAGGATTTTGAGACTCTGTCTCACATACTTTGGGCATGTAGCGAGGAAGGGGCCAGTCTTTGGAGAAAGATCTCATATTTGGAAGGATCAAGGGACAGTACAGGACAGGAAGAGCTCTGATAAGAGCGACTGACACAATAACTTGGGTAATGAGGGTAGATGTGTCAGAATCAGTGAGACTGGCTTAGGACAGGGCTCAGTTCAGAGCTATTGTGCATAGGTTTGCTATGAGTCTTAATCGACTCAACGACACATAACAACAACAATCAAATGTATAATATTTGATCTTAGTAACACCTTGAATTACTGTATTTATAATATTTATAAGATTATGTATTTATTACATATAGATATCTAATTTTCCCAGTGCCATTGTTGAAAAGACTTATTTTATATTTCTATTGAATTACCTTAGTAAAAAAACGTACTGATTACCCAACACTCTTGGTACTAGCATCCAAGAAATCAAAAGATGAATTACATTAGAAAAGTTTGCTGTCAGAGACATCTGGAAACTAAGGTGTGCCTGATCCAGGCCATAGTCTTTGCAATTACTTGTTATGCACCAGAAATCTGGACACTGACTAGGGATGAGAGAAGGAGAATTAATGCTTTTGAGCTGTGGTGCTGGAGAAGAATATTGAATACCATGGACTGCTAACAAACATGTTCATCCTGGAGAGGGTGAAATCAGGCTGCTCCTTGGAGGCAAGGATATTGAATTTCCATCTGACATACTTTGGGCATGTTGCAGGAAGAGACCAGTCCTTGGAGAGAGACATCATAGTTTGGAGGGTGGAGGGACAGTGCAAGAGAGGAAGATCCTGGATGAGATGGATTGAGTCTGTGGCTGAAGTAATGGGGGTAGGTGGGTCAAGACAGAGCAGGGAGGGGTATGGAAATAGGGTCACTATGAGTTGCAAGCAACTCGACGGCACATAACAACAACCCAAGAGAAATTAAAACATATCCATACAAAGACTTGCACACTAATACTTGTTGTATGCTGTCAAGTTGAATACAACTCATGGCAACCCTATGAACCCTCTGAACTTCCCTAACCTGAGCCAACCTCACTATCTCTGGCACATTTGACCTCATTCATTGTTGGGGTTGTTTTTGTTTTGTTTTCATATATTTACATAACTTCCTGTGATTAATTTTAGGACATTTGCATTACTTCTCAAAAAAAATGTGTGTTTTCTCTCATAGTCACCCTTCACCTGCTCCCAGTTACCCCAGCTCATAGACAGTCCCTAAACTACTGTATATCTGCTGCCATAGAGTTGATTCTGACTCATATTCTACCTACCGCTATTAGTTGATTTCAAGTCATAACCACCTTCCATCAGGTTTCTAAGGGTATAAATATTTATGAGCGTAGACAGCCTATCCTGCTACAGTAGCTGGTAGATCCTGTAGACATTTCAGTTAGCAGCACAGCATGTAGCACATAATGCCTCCAAAGCTCCACCACGAAGTCGTCATCTACTGTACAAATCTGTAAATAGACATTTGCCTAGTCTGGATATTCTATACAAAGAAAATAATACAATATATGGCTGGTTGTGACTGATTAGTTTAGCATAATCTTTTCAAGGTTGATTCACATTGTAACATAGTTTAGTACTTCATTCCTTCAGAAGACCAAACAATAATTTCATTGTATAAAATATAGAATATTATGCATACTCATTTACCAGATGATGGATATTTAATTACTTTCACATTTTTGTTATTATGCACAGTGTTGTTATAAATATTAGTGTTGTCTGGGACTATATTGGGAAAACTGAAACCAGTTCACTCTGTGGAGGTAAAGCTTTTTGAAGCTGTATCTCACAAAGAGGGGCCGAGAAAGGCATTACACTTGGAAGATATAATAAGGGTGGTCAAGTCTGACTATCCTCATCAGTATTATCCATGGCAGCAAACAGATAGCTTCTAGGTCAGACATGCCACCACCTGTGCTCCTGCACCGATTTCCACCAATCATTGGGTTCAATATTCGTTGTTAACTCACAGACTTTACTCACAGTGTGGTACCAAGAGTGAAGTTTATTAGGGAAATAAGTTGGAGAGTAGGGCAAAGATTATCACCTAGTGCAAATAGAGGTTGAGTCCAACAGTCCCAAACAAAATTAACAGCAAAACACTAATTCCTCAATTAGTAAAAGTTCAAGTTCAGTTCAGTACCATAAATTCAACAAGCCTCTGGTTCTCTTAATCGTCTAGCAAGTTTTTCTTCAGAGTAGTTACAGGTAAGCTTTTCTTTCAGTGATCCAGGAAACGTTTTACTGTGGCCAATTCAATGATCCAGCAAGCAAAACCTTTAATTGTAGTCTTTTATTTCAGGGTTCCTCTGGTTACACCTCTCTTCACAGTCTCTTCACAGCAGTGTCACACTCTTCTTTATGCACCACCATCACCAGGATCTCATTCTACAGTATATAAAGCACTGTCTCTCTTACATTGATTCCACAGCTATTGATGATTTGCAAGACCATGTGTCTGCAGTTAATGTAGCTGAATATCAGCAGAGTCTATTGTAATGACTAGAAAAGACAACTTTTAAATTAACACCACAGAAGGGTAGAAGATCAGCAGAAGAACATCCTGGATGACCCAGTGACTGTCAGATGGATTGACACAGTGACCTAAACCAAAAAACAAACCCACTGTCATGGAATCTATTCTGACTCTCCATTCAGTTGTCTTATCTTTCTTCCTCATAGTGGCTGGTAGATTTGCATTTCAGACCTTTGAGTTTTCACCTAAAATGCAATGTTATTGGTATTAGATTCTGCTGAGTGGACTACAACTCATAGCAATCCCATGAACAACACTTCAGAACCTTGTCCTACCGTGTGTCATTCTCACAATCTCTGCCATGCAAAGCTTATTGTTGCAGTCATTGAAAGACATAATAAAAAGTTTAAAAATATACTTTAGAATATATGTTCTTTTAGATATTCCACATATACCATTGAAAGGAACCCTAATGAGGCACGAAGCTGCTAACTGAAAGGTCAAAGTCATTGCCTGTAAATACTACAGCCTAGGAAATCCTATGGGGTAGTTCCTCTCAGTTCTTTGGTGTGATTATGAATTAGAATGGTCTTGGAAGCACACAACAACATTTATGTCATATGTGGAAAATTATATTTGATTTCTTGTATCATAATTACACTTTTACTTGCATTATCATTGTGCCTGCACAGAAGAATGATAAGCAGTCTCTTCCCATGCAGTTTCCAACCTCTGAAAACACACTGGAGAGTCAGCTATGAGTTTGTGCCAACTCAGCAGCACAAAGCAACAACAATATAACATTATCATGCCTGAACTTTCAGTACAGTTCAACCTAATCTCAATTGACCCACATAAAGTAACCTTCAAAAGTTTCTTATTTTTCTAATAAACTTCACTCTTGGTACCACACAGTGAGTAATGTCTGTGAGTCAACAACTAATATTGAACCCAATGATTGGTGGAAATTGGTGCAGGAGCACAGGGGGTGGCATGTCTGACCTAGCAGCTATCTGTTTGCTGCCATCATCATTGAATGATGAGTAGACTTCTTTGACTAAGCTTGAATGATATTCAGTCCTCTAACTAAACCCAAATAATTATCTATAACTTCAATTGCTGTAAGATATAGTATTATACACTTAGAGTCTAGCATTTTATAGATAGGATTCATACATTGAAAGAAAACAAACTATATTTATTCCAATTTTGAGAGTTTGTGATTCTGGTCACACTATGTATTTATTCCTATGTGTATTCAGATACCCTGGTGGTATAATAGGTTAAGTGCTGGGCTACAAACTGAAAGGTTGACAGGTCAAAGTCACCAGCTACTCTATGGGGAGAAAAATGAGGCAGTCTCTCCTCCTGTTATGATTTACAGGCTTGGGAACCTAATGATCGTTACTATGAGTCAAAATCTGCTTCTTTGCTGCAGCGGGTTTGTGTGTCTGTTTGTGTGTGTATATATATGCATTTCTGTATGTATATATTTTATAAAATTGTATTACGGCTGTTGCTGCGTGCCACCAAGTCAGAACTGACTCATAATTGACCCTTTTGTAGGTTTTCAGAGGCAGTAAATTGCATAGGAGAAAATTGTCCATCTTTTTTCCACAGAGCAACTGGTAGGCTTGAACCACGTGCCTTTAGTATGCCAGTGCTGCTCTGCTACCAGTAGGCCACCGGTGTTCCCTATGATATGATATGATATGATATGATATGATATTAATGATATTAATTATATTATGGTGTTATGTTAAGCCATATTATATCATATATGGAGCTCTGATACAGTATTTTATATTTTATATGTTGGTTTTATATGTTGGTTTATATATATGTTTATATATATATATAGCTTTAATAAATATTGCCACAATCTTTCATATAAGTAAATAAACTTTAAAGGGACAAAGAAAGTATGGACTAAAGCTGTTTCTTCTACTCCAGAAGTGGAGTCCTTTTATTTTATTTTTCATTCATCACCAAAAAAAGCTATCTATTAACTAATTTAAAGTTTTATTGAATCTGTATGCTTCTGATAAGTGATCAGTAAGACCAAACAGAAATCTTTCTGAAATATAATGTAAATGACATTCACATATATTATTAAAGTGAGCATATCTAATTCCACTCCATTCCTTTGTCAGGTGTGAAAGCTGAGCGATATTTATATGTTTCTGGGTATTATGAGATGGCCAGCTGTACTTTGTTCAACAGGGGGATTTTCAGAAAAGTCATATGAATGGAGCTCAGAAGAGGAGGAACCAGTGAAAAAGGCAGGACCAGTCCAAGTCCTCATCGTGAAAGATGACCATTCCTTTGAGTTAGATGAAACTGCACTAAATCGGATACTTCTGTCAGAGGCTGTCAGGGACAAGGAGGTGGTTGCTGTGTCTGTGGCTGGAGCATTTAGGAAAGGAAAGTCATTTCTGATGGACTTCATGCTGCGATACATGTACAACCAGGTATGTAAGAGGCGTTTGAAAGAGCATTCTTCTTTCTGTGCTTCTGCTCCATTGGGTTTTTACTTAGTAGAGTTTGCTATTTCCATTTCCATTATGTTATGCCCTAAACATTCACCAGTTTAAAAAATGCTATGGTCTATCCCCTTCAACTACAATAGCTGTAGCATCATGCTTCACAAACAGCTTTTCATGGATGTCACTATGCTTAGACCATAATTTTTAGTTTTTGCTCTTTAAAGAACAGACATCATTGTAAGATGACATGACTTTTGTATGTTTGAGTGTTTATAATGTCAAAGAACTTTTGTAATAACTTTTTTGTTGTAATTATTTTTTTCAGTATCTTACTATGAAAAATTCAAGTATACAGCAAAAGTAAAAACATTTCATTAAAACATGAACATTTTGGCATCTATAACTTATGTTCTACCACATGATATATCTGATTTGTTACAAATTTCACCATAAGAGTATTAAATATATCATAGACTGCCAGAAGAACAAACAGGTTCTTCCTAAATAAAGTGAAAACGGTCTGCTCCTTGGAGGCAAAGATATTGACTTTCCTTCTGACATACCCTGGGCATGTTGCCAGAAGGCACTAGTCCTTGGAGAGGGTCATCATGCTTGGAGGGGGTGAAGGGACAGCGCAAGAGATGAAGACCCTAGATGAGATGGATTGACTCGTTACTGGGGTCAAGGGGATAGATGTGTCACAGATAATAAGGTTGGCTCAGGATAGAGCAGTGTTCAGGGTCACTATGAGTTGCAAGCGACTTGACAGCACCTAACAGCAACTATAAGTCATACCTTTACTTGGCAAGGTAGAGGATCTGCGAAAAAGAGGAGGGCCCTCAGCAGTTGCACAGTGGTAACAACGAGATTGAGTATGGTGGACACTGTGAGGATGGCATAGGACAGGGCAATGTTCATGTCATAGGGTTGGTAGGTGTTAAATTTTTTTCACATTGAGCCTGTCTAAGCTTATCATTAATTTAGGTAGTCTACTTCCAAATTCTTCTGAATTAGTAAAGTTTTATATTTAATTCATGTGAGGTTTTAGATTGGATTATTTAAAGAGATCCTGCAAAAGTTAATATCTTATTCTATGAAACACCCAAATAAGTGTAAATTGAGAGCACTAGTGGTGTAGCAAGGAATTGTGTTTCCAACGCAAAAATACATGGTTCAAAGCCAGCAGCTGCTCTGCTTAAGAAAGATGAGCAGTTTCCTTCCATGTGATTTACTGTCTCTGAAAACCCGCTGGAGGGTCTGCTGTGGGTTGGTTCTTAGTTGACAATACACAACAATAACAACTATTAACCAAATTTACCATGTCTTAATTACTGAATTTAAGAGATGCTTCCTAGTCTTTATTTTCATTTCTTTTTTTAAATTGTTTTTGTTCAGTTGACAGTTAACGTCGATTCTATTTACCTTTCGCCTCACAAATTTATTTGTATCAATATTCCCCTGTCTTTTGTTATTATGGCCTTGGTTCGGATCCTCAATCACATTTTTTACATTTATAATCATCCCCTTTTTGTTTTTTTCCTGGCTATTATCTTTCTTCCCTACCATCTCCCTTTTTGTCCAGAATAATCTTTCTAATCCTAACTGTAATGATATTCTGAGGCTGCATCTTTATAATTACTCATTCCTTGCAGAATAAACTCTAACACCCTTAGATACTTTACAAAACCTTTCAAAATCTGTCAAGCCTCTACTCCTTTCTGCCCCACGCTGTCACAACGCTTTAGCAATACCAAAGTGTCTGAACATGTCCTCATATCCTATGTGCTTCCGTCTCTTTCTTTCTTCTTTTTTTCTAGAATGTCCTTCTCTTATGTGCTTACCTGAAAAATTCTTAAACATCCACCAGGCCGTAGCTTAGATACCTCTCCTAAAAAGTCTTATATGACCAAGAGTTTGGTTTGGTATTCTCTTTTCCTGTTTCTTTTTATGCCTCCACAAATTCCCACTTGTATATGCATAAATAACATCATAATGGCTTGTTAACATATCTATCTCACTGCTAGATTGTGAGCTTCCTCTTGTCTGGATTGCTATTATTTTATCTCTGTAGCCCCTGGACCTATGACAAAACATGGCAGATGGTTGCTTTGTAATTAGCTTTTGGGTGCATAAATAGTTTGTGTTAATGCAAGACATATGCACATGTTATTTCTTTTTAACCAGAGTGAAAGCAGGATGAGAATTGGAATGGGTGAATGGGAAAAAAACTATACACACATATTCAGTTCCACATGATAGACTTTATTAATTTCTAGGAATCAGTTGACTGGGTTGGTGATTACAACGAACCATTGACGGGTTTTTCATGGAGAGGTGGGTCTGAACGAGAGACCACAGGCATCCAGATATGGAGTGATGTCTTTCTAATCAATAAGCCTGATGGTAAAAAGGTATGATGCTACATTTTAAATGAAATAGAATTTCACTTGCAGTTATCACTGTTTTTCAGAATTCTTGACAATTTTCATTTGAAAACATATCTTAGCCATTTTATATGTTGCTTAAAGAATGTAGGATAGTAACCTATTGCATGTCCTGTAAGCTAAGTGAAATTTCAAGAATAGAACAGAAGATCAGCCAGCTAGCATCTGTATTTTGTTTCAATTGCTGTGTTGTTTCTATTATATTGAGTTGCTGGTGAAAAGTAATTATTATAGTAATCAGTAGCTAATTAAAGATTTTATTTTTTTTGTGCCACTCATGCTATATAGAAGAAATTACATGTTAAATATTCAATGATAATAATAATTTAATTTTTCTTATGACATTAACCTGTAGTAGTCTTAATTACCTTCAAGTTCTGTAAAATGTCAATAATGTTTTCCTCTTATCTATAGGTTGCAGTGTTACTGATGGATACTCAGGGAACCTTTGATAGTCAGTCTACCTTGAGAGATTCCGCCACGGTATTTGCCCTTAGCACAATGATCAGCTCAATACAGGTATGGAATAAAATAAAACTCTTTTGATAAGTATTTGTGTGGTTTTGTTGTTCTTAGTTACCATCAAGTTGGAATTGATTTATAGCTGAACTTCCAGTAGGTTTTCAGAAATTGTAAATCAGATGGAAAGAGATTGCCCTTCTTTCTCCCCAGAAGCAGCTAGTGGATTCAAACCATGTCCCTTAGGGTATACAGTGCAACTCCTTACCAGTAGGCTACCAGGACTCCCCTGGTACATGTTTACCTAAAAATTATGAGGATCTATGTCTTTGTACACACATGATTTTGGGACAAACAAGAAACATGGCAATGAATTTGTATGTGTGTGTAATTTGACTCAGGGAACACACTGGTTCTCCTGATTTCTGTAAAGAGCATTGATTCTGTTGTTGTTGTTGTTGTTGTTATGTGCCGTCGAGTCGTTTGCGACTCATAGCGACCCTATGTACAACAGCCCTAAACCATGCTCTGTCCTGTGCCAATCTCATTGCCTCTGACACACCCACCCTGATTACCCCAGTCACTGAATCAATCCACCTCATAGAGGGTGTTCCCCTCCTGCGCTGTTCCTCCGCTCTACCCAGCATGATGTCCCTCTCTAAAGACCTGTCTCTCCTTACAACATGTCCAAAGTATGTCAGGCGAAGCCCCAGAATCCTTGCCTCCAAGGAGCAGCCTGGTTTAACCCTCTCTACGATGAATCTGTTTGTTTTCTTGGCAGTTCATGGTACATTCAATGCTCTTCTCCAGCACCACAGCTCAAAGGCATCAATTCTCCTTCTATCCTCCCTCGTCGTTGTCCAACTCGCTGATGCATAACAAGTAATTGCAAAAACCATGGCCTGTATCAGGCTCACCTTACTCTCCAGAGAGACACCGCTGTTCTTGAGTACTTTAGAGAGGTCCCTAACCGCAGACTTTCCCATTGCAATACGTATTTTGATTTCCTGGCTACTGGTGCCAAGAGTATTGACCATGGCGCCAAGCAAACTGAAGCTGTGAACAATCTCAATCTCTTCACCATCCATCCTGATGCTACCAATTGGTCCAGTGGTGAGAATTTTTGTCTTCTTAACATTGAGCCTCAGTTCATATTGAAGGCTGCAGTCCTTGACCCTCTGCAGTAAGTGCATGAGGTCCTCCTCAGTTTCAGCGAGCAGGGTTGTGTCATCTGCATAACGCAGATTGTTGATAGATCGTCCACCAATCCTAACGCCACGCTTCTCCTCATAGAGCCCAGCCTCTCGGATAATCTGCTCTGCATACAGGTTGAAAAGGTATGGAGACAGGACACATCCCTGGCGTACACCCTTCCCAATTTTGAACCATGCAGTGTTGCCCTGCTCTGTTCTGACGACTGCCTCTTGGTCCAAGTATAGGTTTCGCATTAGCACGATTAAATGTTCTGGGATTCCCATTCTTCTCAGAGTCAGCCACAGTTTGTTATCATCCACGCAGTCAAATGCCTTTGCATAATCAATGAAACACAGACATTCTTCTGGTATTCTCTGCTTTCAGCTAAGATCCATCTAACATCAGCTACAATATCCCTAGTACCACAACCCCTTCTAAACCCAGCATGGATTTCTGGCAGTTCTCTGCTGATGTACTGTTCCAGTCGTTTTTTATTCTGTTAGTATAGTCTATTATGAATTCGTTTCAAATTACTTGCTTTAGTCAGAAAAGGTAATTTTATCCTGTTGTTGTGTGTACCGTTGAGTCTGAACAGACACACAGAACCCTCCAGCAGGTTTTCAGAGGCAGTTAATCTCACGGGCGGAGATTGCCCATCCTTCTTTTGCAGAGCAGCTGATGGATTTGAACCACATGCCTTTGAAATTGCAGCTCAGCTTCTTGCCACTAGGCCACCAGACTTACTGATAATTTGTTTAAAGCCTGTAATTTAGTAATATTACATTTTATGTCTTCCTTCCTTTTCATTGCCATTGTGTACATTCTGACTCATAGTAGCCCTCCTTTGAGTTTCCAAAGATATGTCTTGTAAGAAGGAGACTGTCCATCTTTCTCTCAAGAAGGGTCTAGTGAGTTCAAACCACCAGCTTTCAGTTAGCAGCCTGACTCAGCATTACCACGATCTCGTCAAGGCTTCTTTTAGATATATTGTTGCTGTGTGCCATTGAGTTGAAACTGACCATAGCTGACCCTCCAGCAAGTTTTTCAGAGTCAGCAGATTGCACGGGAGGTGATTGTCTGTCCTTCTCCCATGGAGCAGCTGATGGATTTGAACCTTGAGCCTTTGGTATTGCAGTACAGCTTCCCACCACTAGACCACTAAAGCACCCTGCAGATATATTGTTTCTGTGGTTGTTAGGTGCCTTCAAGTTGAGCTGGACTCAAAGCATCCTTATGAACAACATATATGAACCCTGTCCTATCCAATGTCATCCTCACCTATCTCTGATATATTTTAGTCCATTGCTGCAGTCACTGTGTTATTCCATCATGATAGTGGTCTTCCTCTCTTTTACTCACCATCCACCATTCCATGCATGATATCTTTTTCAAAGGAATAGCCTCTCCTAGCAACGTATCTAAAGTGTGATAGATAAAGCTTTGCTGTCTTTGCCTCCAAGGAGCTTTCTGGCCACAACTTTTCCAAGTTCATTCTTTTGGCAGTGCATGGGACATTGAGTACTCTTCTCCAATACCACAACTGAAAGGCATCAATTATTCTGTCACCTTTATTCATTGTGCAGCTCTCAGATGCATAAGTAATTGAAAAGACAATAGCCTCAGTCAGGTGCACTTTAGTCTTCAGACTGATACCATTGCTCCTCAGTAATTTGGAGAGGCCCCTGACTGCTGACTTTCCCAGTGCAATATGTCTCCTCATCTCCTGACTGCTGGTACCAAGGGTGTTGATAGTGGATCCAAGCCAAATTAAATAATTGACTGTTTCAATCCTTTCTACATCTATCATGATGTTGGCGACTGGCCCAGTGGTAAGAACATTTGTCTTCTTGATGTTAAGATGCAATCCATATTGAAAGCTGTAGTCTTTGGTCTTCTGCATCAAATTCTTCAGGTCCCCCTCACTTACAGCAAGCAAGGCTGCATCATCTGCATAGCTCAGATTGTGAGCTATTTAGAGAGCTCGTGTGACCTAGTGGTAAGAACTTGTTCAGAAATCTCAAAGGCATGTAGTTTGAATCCATGAGCTGCTCCATGGGAGAAGAATAGGCAGTTTTCCTCCTGTGCAATTTACTACCTCTGAAAACCCAGTAGAAAACTGGGTATGGGTCAGTTCAGACTTGACAGCATATAACAACAACAATAACCTATTATTCAGTTCTGACTAAATCTTTCATCAAGTTTCTAAGGTTATAAATAAATCCTTACAAGAAGATATTACCCATATTTCTCCCTCAGAGTGATGGGTAGATTCAAGAAGCTATGCTGCTAATTCCAAAAGCACACAGTTCAAGGTCACCAGCTGCTCCATGAGAGCAGGATGGACAATGTCCTCCTGTGCAATTAACTGCCTCTGAAAACTCACTGGAGGGTCAGCTGTGGGTCAGTTCTCACTCTACCAATGTCCTCCTGTGCAATTAACTGCCTCTGAAAACTCACTGGAGGGTCAGCTGTGGGTCAGTTCTCACTCTACCAATGTCCTCCTGTGCAATTAACTGCCTCTGAAAACTCACTGGAGGGTCAGCTGTGGGTCAGTTCTCACTCTACAGTACTCAACAACAACAATGCCACTAATGCTCATTATACTTAGTGAAATAAGTTTTTAAAGGCACAAAGTTCTCTTCGCATAACCAGTAGAAAATTTCTAAATCTGAAAACTGCTTATGTTTACATCCCACTAATTGTATTTTTTTGTTTTATTGTGACAAGCTAAATTATCCATTAATAATGGAAATGTGGGGTATAGAACATGAATTTAAGAAAATTAGAAGAAGTAAAAAATACAATGTAATGCATAAAAATTTATATTCTAAGCAATAGTTAGGGACCTCTAGTAGCCTGGTGGTAAGAATCTGTGCAAATCTGCCAGCTGCTTCATACAAGAAAGATGGGCAATCTCCTCCTGTGTGATTACTGCCCCTGAAACCCACTAGAGGGCCAGCTATGGTCAGTTCTGAGTTGATTGTACAAAATGACAGGCGATAGTTAGATGAAATGGATTGGCCATTTTGAGTTTGACAGTATATCCATGGCAGAGAAGAAACAGGTCTATCCTGGACAAAGTGAAACCTTCTTCTTGGAGAGTAGAAAAGTGGTGTTAGGAGGGGTCAGTCCTTAAAGAAGGACATCATGCTTGGAAGGTTGACAGGTCAGTGCAAGAAAGGAATACCTTTGATGAGATGGATTGACACAATGACTGTAGCAGAGGGGTCTAGTGTATCAGAAATGGTGATGGTGAGGTTGGCTTAGGATAGGGCAAAGTGCAAAACCATTGTTCATAGCGTCACTATGAATCATAGTTGACTCTGTAGGATCTTATGGAAGCATTTCCAGCAATGGCAAATTGAAGAGAATTGGCATCACTTAATGCGAATATTTTAAAGTCTTTCCTGAAGTCCAACATTGTCAGTGGTAACATAACAAGGAAGAATAGTCAATAGAACTATTATCCAAATTTACCCCAAAACACTAATGTGAAAATGAAGAAATTGAAGATTTTAACCAACTTCTACTCTCTTAGATGGCTCAAATAGGCAATTAAGATATATTGATAATTACTGGTGATTGAAAGTTAGAAACTAAGAAAGATCAGTAGATGAAAAATTAGGCCTTGGTAATAGAAATGATGCCAGACATTTAACCACAGAGTTTTTCAAGACCAATGAATTATTAATTGACAATACTTTTGGGCATGTGTCCAAGAGGGACCAGTTTCTGGAGAAAGACATCATGCTTGGAAGGGTGGAAGGACAGCACAGGAGGAGGACCCTGTGTGGGATGGACTGACACAGTAACTGGGGTAATGGGAGTAGGTGTGTTGGAGATGGAGAGACTGGCTCAGGATAGAG